AATTAATATATATGAATAGAAATTATGAACGAGACCAGTCCCTCTGGCATCAGGAATTTAAATCCAATTTAAAACATTTTTTTTCTTGTCGTTTCTAAGAAACAATAATCTATCCAAATGAAAAAATAAATCCCCTTAAATTGTGGCTTGTCAGGTCAGATAAATTTTGCGGGCCAGATAATGGCGTTTTGCAGCCCACTGAGAATCTCTAAACTCTGAACTAAACCTTCTAATTTTAATTAATAAATACATAAAACTATAATGCGAAGAAACGAAGAAACTTGGAGAGATCTCGTGCACCGGAAGCAATACATTACAGAAAGGGGAATGAACCTGTGAAGTTTGTGATCAACGTGAGTGAGTGAATGGCAAGCAGATCAAGACGAGCAGTTGTGCAACACAAGTACGCAGTTTCTGGATTAATCTGAGCTAAGAACCCGTGAGGACGTCTCCTACTTCAGAAGTCGGTCTTTGTGAGTTATCAAATACATAAGATGTAATACACTGTCATTGCTGATGTGGGGAATTCAACAAATCGTGATGAACTGAGACTAAGACTAAGATCATGAATGAGAATGATTTAGATCTACATCTAAATCTAGATCTAGTTTTTAAATTTAAAGTTAAAGTTTTAGGTTTTACTTTTAGTTTTCAGGCTTGAAGGATCCAAACTCCTGGATCTAGATCTAGATTTATACTTACTTCCGTAACGAGCGACCACCCCACCAAACACAATAAAGAAGAGGCCTAACCCTACTAACCCTAGCATAACCCTCCTAACGAGCCTAACCCCTAGCACTCAATTCTGCTCTGTGTCATAGTGGTCGCTCGTTGTAATTACGGAAGTCCTCCCCTAGATCTAGATCTAGATCTAGATCTAGATTATATTATAGATGTAGAAAATTGTGTTCATGTGGGTGTAAAATATCTCTAATCTAGATTCTAGATCTAGATCTAGAAACGAAGTGATTATTCGGTAAATTTTTACTTTCACTCCCGCACACAGATGCACTGTTTCAGGGGTCAAACTGCTGTACTGTTTGCTGCAGATCACACAT